CCATGAGAGACTCTCGACAAGCGCGCGATCGTCACAGCGAAGAAGTTCCGCAAAGAAGCTGGCCATCTCGAGAGGGAGCGCACAATGCCCAGTGCTTCCTCAACGCGTCTACAAAGGCGGCCTCCGGAAGCGCGACGCCTCGGGCAAGGCCTCAAATATTGGTCATGGCAAGAACAAGAGCAGGGCTGCTGTTGCTGCTGCCGCTGCCGCCAGCGTCCGCACTGCCGCTGGAGAGTCTGATGGTGAGAGAGCTCATTCGGAGCGTGCTCATCCCCGCGTTGACATCAAGCAGGAGCACGAGAGTGACCTTCGGGACGAGATGCTTCTTCCTTCCATCGAGATTGATTGATTGAGGCACACTTGGATTCTAGGGAAGAGGCGTGCATAAGGGAGCTGCTGAAATTGGTTAATTGGAAGTTAGGCATAGAGGAGTTTGCTCGCAGCTCGGGCAAATGCCCTAATGAGCAGACAAATTGGACGAAAATGCTCCAATTGGAAATTTAGACGAAGTGCTGATATTCGTCCCTTATATTCTTTCCAGATCCTAAACTTGCGACGATATGTCCACTGCAGGTAGCGTCAGCGTCCGGTGCTCGCCCCGCTGCACGCGTCCAGTGCCGCTCCGTGTGGGTCCGGCAGTCATCCCGCCCTGTGGATCCGGCCCCCGTCCGGTCATGGGTCCAGGACTCGTTGTAGGCGTGAATGATGCTGCTCACTGGTCATAGACTTGACATTGCATCGTTCAGAGCAAGAACTAAGGGTTGATATTTTCTCTGAGATTATGCATGAGATTTGTATCAAGCAGCGTATATTCTACTTACACAACTTACACAAATCAGGAATAAGCATAAACTACCATGCTTGTAAGAGCCTGGGGCCTGAGGCTCTGCAGTGCTCAAGCCCAAGACCAAGTACCGTTATGCATCAGTAAATCCACGATGAACTGGTTGCAAGTCGAGTCAACTGTTGAAGATATCCATCATGGCCCAAGAAGCAGGATGTAGATTGCTTACCTCTTGGCAACCAACGCAACACAAGTTGCTCAAAATGCCGATCATTAGTCCAATCACAATCACTACCCATGGGTCGCTCGAATAGCCATGTCATAATACACTTCAGCAGCCAGAGCCATGGACGGGAGGCGGAAGAAGAATTGACTTGAAGAGCCCTTGATTTGCCAGGGATTTCACTCTCAGAAATGCAAATTACACAGAATTATTAGTCAAAGCGGTATATAAGACTCGACGTACTGCGCTTGGTCGATTAAAGCATACGAGCCGGGAACTCGAGCGAAACCCGGAAAGATCCGTAGTGACCGAGATGCGTGACGGACCACGGTTGTTCTTGTGAATCTCAGAGCTCACTAACCCTACTCCAACACATCTCGGGGGCTCCGGCTTGTTGCATGTGAACTGTAGAGTCAGCTCTACACTTTTGAAGTCGTGGTCCCCGTAAGGATGAAGTATATGGCATTGTCCAGAATGACTCTGGCGCCTCCAGCAGCCCAGTCACTCAAACATCGGTTCGAGCCCTTTATGATATGCTAGAGCGGGGAGTCTCATCTTTTCATGATTGCCGCTCTGTGCTACAGTTAGGGCTTTCGGGTCTTCGTAAACCCCGAAATCAGCTTACATGTCGATCAGTCCGTTTCACCAATACTGATCTGCAGAACAGCTGGGCGGGGCGAGAGCACCAGAGTCGAGCAGGCAAGAAGCGGTGATCATGTCTTGCGCTGTCATATCATGTGTTAAAGCGTATCGACCTTTTTGACCTTGCAATGTCGGTACCCAATTATGTCTGCCCATCCTGATAACACGAGAATCGTAAGCCTAAGTGGCGCAGTGATCGGACTCTGACGATGGCCTATACCAGGAGCTTCCTAAGTTCGAGAGAGTTCCAGCACTGCCTCGTTCATACGTGAGTAATGTGTACCACTAGTGTTGTCTCCTGGCCGCAGCAATGGCATATGAGTCGGGGTACGTCCTGTGTTATCAGGTCATCAAAGCAAGCACCAAGTGAAGGAAGTCAACAGGGCTGGATGTTGCGGTACATAAGGCGGATAGACAGAGCTCTTTGTCATGCGCATTGTCAATTCAAGCAAGCAATACAAGGATTTCGTGATATTTTCAGGTCGTGGACTGCGCTTCCGACTCAGCATGACTGAGTACACGGAGAACATTGTCCGGTAAATCCGGTTGTGTGGCCAAGATGAAGCCAAATCCTGATGAGTCGAGCCTCGATCAACATCCACGAAGTGTATGTCCAATGACCAGGATGCTGTTGGTCAGTGTCATGGACTACTTGGAACATCATACAAGGATGCATGCCCCGAAGTTACAACTTAACGAGAAATCCGAAAGGCTCCGATAGAATGTTGTGAGCCCCTGAACGAGTGTAACCGCACTGACATCTCCATTGTTAGCCCCAGCCCAATTGTTTGACATGCGACAGGCACAGCAAACTAATGGACCACTCCTCGGACCATCGCGAGCGCTCTCGGGTTCTTCTCCATAAAAAGCCGAGTAAGACACCATTCAAGACCTGCCCGAGAAACGCGAAGAACGGCCGTGCATACCGAAACCGAGAACGAGCCAGGACGCTCTGTGGTGGGAGGAGGGACCTTCACTGCGGTGGGACAGCCCTGCAGGGGCGCGTAATCACGTCGATGGTAATTGGGAGCGTAATTCCCCGATGTGCCGCCATGACGCGGGATCTGCGATCTTGCAGATCGACGCCTCTGCTGAGTGCCGGTGGTTGGACTCCACTTCTGGGCATTGCTGGTCAAGTGTGACATTGCTTTTGGAGCATTGATGTCTTCAGAACGCGAGGCTTTCGGGTGCGATTGTAGAAGCATGATAGAACAAGATGTCATAGCAACGGATGGCGTACGCGAGCAACTGAGAGCAGGGCCAGAGAGTTGCCGTCTGTGAAGAGGACCTTAAATATCGATGTTCCCCATAAACATGATGCCTCCATGTTGGTTGTCTGGCGTCTTTCTCTGGACATTTTCTTACTACCGAATTCAAATCGCCAATATGAAGTTTACTATCTTCTCTTCGTCCCTCGCCGTGGCAATGGTTCATGCATACCCTCCCTCCTACATGGCCAGCCTGTCAAAACGAGCAGAGCCAGGTGTATGGGAGCCCGCCGGCCCTGATGATTGTAAGAAAGCCCGATTCCGATTCTTGAAACTTGCGAAGATAACATTGACAATTCTCAGTCAGAGGCCCATGCCCGATGATGAACACTCTAGCGAACCACAACTTCCTCCCCCACGACGACCGCACATTACAAAAGAGAATGCCATCTTCGCGCTCGGCGAAGGTATCGGCTTCGACCGTGACCTTGCAACCCTCATGTGGGAGCAGGCCATACATATCAACCCCAACACCAAACGCCACCTTCTTCACACTGGACCAACTTAACGTGCACAATATCCTCGAGCACGACGGCAGTCTGACGTAAGTGATCAGATTCAACGAAGCTGGGAGGATCGAGACAGACCTTGTGATCCGTGATAGCTAACCCCTCCGATTCAGTCGCACAGATGATTTTCTCGGCAGCAACCACATCTTCAACCAGACCGTGTTTGACGAGACGCGAAGCTACTGGACAGGCGACGTCATTGATGCCACGATGCTCGCCAACAGCAAGATTGCCCGCCAGGTGACCTCGCGCGCCACCAACCCGACGTACACGTTCACCTCCACCATGGAGCAGTTCAGCATCGGCGAGGTCGCGGCGCCCATTATTGGGCTTGGCGACATGGAGGCTGCCACTGTCAGCCGCGCGTTCGTCGAGTACTGGATCCGTGAGTTTTGCCCGGTGCTGTCTACGATGTGCAAAGATCCGGGCTGACTTCCTTGTGACAGAGAACGAGAGGCTGCCTTCCGAACTGGGGTGGGTTAAGAAGCAGGTACCTGTCACGCTGCAGAACATTCTGGCTGTCAATGAGATCATCACCAATGCGACGAGCTTAATCACGACTGGGGAGCCGGTGCCTGGCCCGCCGCGTCCTGTTGATGGGTATCGTCCAAACTTGCACGCGGGTACCTTCTGAAAGAACAAAACCTTGTACAGGCAGAGCCGACAGATTATGAAATCAGGTATTTTATAGCACTGCGGAGCGTTTTCCTACGATTGCTTTTGAGATGGATCGTGAATAGTGGCAGGAAACGGGGGGAATACAGAGAATGCTTTATTATTTTGAATATATTGGAGTGTAGGGAGCCAGCTTTCACAATTCGGAGATCAATCCAGTGTTCCGATTAGTCTAGTGGTTAGGATATCGGCTTGTCACGCCGGGGACCGGGGTTCAATTCCCCGATCGGAAGAAATCATTTTGTCGGTTTTGTCAGATTTGACCGCGATCTCACCCTGACTAGCAAGGTAGTAATTGCGACTGTTTGAATGCTATGCGGCCATTCCATGGAAAGGTTGCATCGTTTCATGGTTGCCGTCGCCGTATGACTGTTTGTTCTTGAAGGTGGTGTGGCTTAGATGCGGCACGGCAGGCTTGGTACTGGACAACCTGACCTGCTTACGGCTTCGGTACAAAAAGCGCGTCTCCTACCAACTTTGTATCGCTGGTAATTCAAAGTGAATCGCTCATTCGAACAGGCTTGTGAGAGTTTCCCGACCGTAGCATCATGGCGCCGGCGTGGCAGGACTCGAATGCCCGAATTTGCTACCTCCGTACCATCTGGCAAGACGCAGGCAACACGAATACCGTGTCAGATGCCAACAGCGACGCCAAAGAAAAAGCCAGTGTAACGGACAACCTCGAGTGCTGGGTATTCCAAGACAAACCATCAGCGAAGATCACGAGGGGCAAGCCAGAACCCCGCGCTTGTCGACAACATTATATCCTTGGCCTCGACACAACAGCGACAGGATTGCCATAGACTGGCTGATCCAGGGCTCGGCAGTCGATGTCGAAGACTCCCAAGTTTTGAACGCCGTGACTTTACGGTCTTTGTTTCCCGAGAACAAGCCGCGACAACGCAGAACACAGAGCTCCTGCAACGCTTGAAGGTCGAGCAGGTTGAAGTGCAGGTCCTGACGACTCATGATTTGGCCACCAGCCAAGCAGAATACCCATCATCCTTACCCTGTGACGCCTTCATGCTGCTCAAGTCAGACTACGCGCTGCACATCTGGTCCGGCGGTCGTGTCAACTACGAAGGGGACAACGTGAGGTTCTGCGGATGGCGAGACTCGCTGCGGCTCGGGGCGCCGGAGGAAACCAGAAGATTACCCAAGCCGCTTCTGGTACGACTACCGCCACGACAAGATGGGCCACACGAGGAGAGGGTGCTGCTGGGCGGGTAAGTGCAACTACTGGCGGCGCGACCACGATGAGAAGTGGCGCAACTACAAATGCCCCTGCTGCGGTGGGCGGTGCAAGCGGACCAAAGGGTGTCAGAAGACGGGCGAGTACTGGGTCGAGGAGAAGAAGCTGCCGGAGTGGTTGCTCGAGGCGGAAGAGGAGAATGGGACCGTGCCGCCCGAGTTTGCGAGGGAGTGGATGAATATGTCGGCGGCGGACACGATTGACAAGTACGAGTTGCGGAAGGGCATTGGTACGGCGGGAAGATGGCGATGGAGGTCGATTGATACGTTTGCTGGAGATGCAGGCGACTGATGGTGCGAGTTCGAGGCACATCTGCCGATGTGCTAGAGATGCCAGGGGGGGCTGCCTTAGTCAGCAGGAGCTGGCTGGAGCACGCCCGAGATGCCAGCGTCGCGACTCCTTTTTTCCGCTGATACGCGATACGGCTCCAACTGACGACGGAACATCGACGACCCACGACATTCATTTGACAACCCATCCGTGAAGCTTCAGCCTCGAGATTCCGCATCAGGACGTTAGGCATCACCGCAAAACTGCCCACCATGACGCGCGCCCAGCAGACCATCTCCCTCGCTCTCCTCGTTGGCTCCGTACGACCTGCCCCTCCATCCAACATGCCGCTTCCTCTCAACTGACGTCTACCCCCAGCTCTACCTTGCGCTCTTCCTTGAGCTTGTGCCTCTTCCCTCCATCGTCCAGGAGCAGGTTGTCCCGGTCGTATGTCTTCCGCTCGCACTCCGCCTCGACATGTCGAACTATCGCTAACAGCAACCCCCCTGGCAGCTTCCCTTCTGGTTCGTCGTCTCCTTCGGCGCCTACCTCCTCGCCCGCCTGGGCTTCAACGTCATGACCTTCAACGACGTCCCCGAGGCCCACAAGGAGCTCATGGCCGAGATTGATCTCGCCAAGGTGGACCTGCGCGCTCTGGGTGTGGATGTCGACTAAGGGAAGCAAAGGAGAAGGAGAACACGGGGAGGCAGCAAAAGAAGCAGGCACGGTCAGGCTCATACGGAGAGAGTCCATGTTGAAAGTAATGGTAAAAAGAAATGGTACCAGCAGCGGAGCTGCTCTGGCGCCGCCTACGGGTTGGTCTAGAGTTTCTGTTGCTCCCGAGGTCGCTTGACACCTTGCAATCTCGCCATCTTCAATCACTTGCTCGCTTGCCTTCTGCCTTGACGGCACCGTCATTCGGGCATTGTAATACACTGCAGTATTTCCAACCACTTGCCAGGCCTGATTTCGTTCGTCTACAATCGTTTACTCCACATTTCCCTTTCCAAGGCCGCCTTTAGTCTACCAGAGCAGCCCTGGTCGCCATGCCTGATGAGGGGGGCAGGCGGGAGGGCAACTGGAGTTCGCAGCACTTGCATTGAGGACCCAAGGCCTCCAGTGGCTGTGACGTCGAGCCCAGCGTCA